TATGTGCACCCGCAATAATTACTTTATTAACAACATAATCTGTAATAAGCACAATCATATTTCCCAGAACTTTGAATTACAGTTAAAATATGTTGTCACATTATTACACAGACTGTCTATTACTAGAGTAATTATAAGTGTTGTCACATTATTACACAGACTGTCTATTACTAGAGTAATTATAAGTGTTGTCACATTATTACACAGACCATCTATTACTAGAGTAATTATAAGTGTTGTCACATTATTACACAGACCATCTATTACTACACAGACTGTCTATTACTTGAGTAATTATCAGTGTTGTGTCATTATAAGTGTTGTCACATTATTACACAGACCATCTATTACTAGAGTAATTATAAGTGTTGTCACATTATTACACAGACTGTCTATTACTAGAGTAATTATAAGTGTTGTCACATTATTACACAGACTGTCTATTACTAGAGTAATTATAAGTGTTGTCACATTATTACACAGACTGTCTATTACTAGAGTAATTATAAGTGTTGTCACATTATTACACAGACTGTCTATTACTAGAGTAATTATAAGTGTTGTCACATTATTACACAGACTGTCTATTACTAGAGTAATCTTAAGCTACAGAACTATTAGTAAGACCAAGGTTGAAGGTTTCTGCAGTTAACTAAAGTAACTTCCCAGTGAGACTCAATGACAATATGAAAATGGTTGTCACCCCTGAAAAAATCTTTAGAAATCACTACAGAGGATGGTTTAGAAGATTGAGTGTTTTACCACTGCAAGACGAAAGTTAAAGGAATTAATTGAAATTTCTACCAGGAACCCAGGGAAATATTTAGAATGATATGAAACCTTTATGATGGTAATTTACAGTTTTGTGTTTGCTGTTTACACATTGATTGTATAAAGAGTTGTAAAATACTTTCTTATCTGTGGATGTGGGGTCTTGGTGTAAACAAAGTGTAGATGTAACCTAGTGACACATCCTCTACTTCCTTATATACACAACATGTTTACACGTAAATGCCTTTCAGTTTTGTAAAGTATTATAAAATTATTTTGAAAATTCTGTAATTGATAACAAGGAATAAATTTTTAGTGCATGAAACAACCACAATCAAATAAAGTGCAAAGCCATTTAAACTGAATATTGATCAGAATTTGATTTCTTGCGTTTGAATTCAGTAATTATTTGAACTGTATATTGAATGGAAATTTAACTTTTGTCTCCATTTTCAGTAATTGTAAAGAAAATATACTGAATATTAAACAGAATTTTAACTAATGATCTGTTATATTAAAAAATTGAGAGAAACAAAAAAAAGTCATTGAACAGATGGTCATTGAAGCTGAAACTGAATATTAAAGTATCTGAAGCTGTAGAGCAATTAAGAACTCCTATCTATGAAGCTGTTCAAAACAGCGAACATTTACCCTACCACAGGAAACTAGAGATACTTCAGGCTTTGATACACATCCTTGAGTAGTTGACTATTAGTATGTATTGTGTTGGGCCAGACTCCAGAAATACTGTCTATTACAATCACAGTGGTGTAAAACTATATTTAGACTTGTTGTTCAAGTTACTTCACCTTTCAGCATAAATCTGATACTTAAGTGTTATTTTCTAAAAAGTGTCTCGTATGTGCTACTTCCATTGTGTCCATTAGGGAGGATTCCTCTGACAGTGTTTAATGGATAAATATATCAATGATCCTGTAGGTAGTGTCTGTATACAGCGTACCAAACTAGACACGGGTGTCAACCAAAGTGCTGGGTAACCAGGACAGATCAGGTGATGTTCATAAATCTAGAGATATACCCGATGATGTCAGCATTCAAATCAAATAAAAACACCAGACAATATCTAAACAACTGTCCAGATGCAAAATACCTGCTGATGTCATAAAAAACCTCAGGATTTTAACATTGATATACCTGAGGATATCGGTGTACCAATAAGATAGTGTTTTGTGATAATAGTGAAATCGTTAATCTTTGCTACATGATATCAACAAACATAAGAGGATTTTCAAATCTAAGTTCTCCAGATTGTCAACAAAGTTTAGTGTAAACACGTAACGGATCTACACAGTTTTACATCAATACTGATTGGATAGCGTTTATTGCTAAGAAGACTTGAATGAGCATCTCGGAGGAATCATATTTTAAAATGGGGTAAGTTTTATCACATTGGAAATAGACAGCATGACACCGTAAAAACAGATTGACAAAAGATTGCTTTTGTTATTGTGGAGTTAGGGATTCACATGTTTATCAATATTAATGATCGAATTAGATTCACTTGTTGCCAATATTAATGATTGCATGAACATTCATGTTATCTCAGTGATCAAATTAAGTAAACATGTTAATATTAATAATCAAATTAAGATTCACATGTCATGATAAGTGATTGCATGAAAATGTGTATCCAAGAGGAGACAAACTGTGAAATTTTTAAAGCTGTTACCAGAGAGAATACTGGAAAAATGAAGTTTAATTTTTCAGACTTTAAGATTTCATCACAGCTGATATTGGTCCTTTAGTTTAAGATGGTAATTGTTTTTGATAATAAAAGCTGTACTCTTTCATTATTACACCTGTCATAGAAGTAAGTGTTATAAAAGTGTTAGGAATAGGACACTCAGATTTCTGTCACATTCCACGATCTGTGACGTAGCTTGTATTATATTAGAATATTTACCTGTCAAGTGTTCACCTAAACCAATCACTTCAAAGGTAGGCACCACAGCCAGACCTCCATCTAATACTATAATGTATATAGGCAGTGAAGATTGAATTTAGGGTAAATGACAGAAGGTGATGGTGGAATGACACAGTGGTAATCATTCTGGTGGTTTGTGTGTCCATCATGGTGTTTTTTGTAAAATATTTTATCACATGGGATATATACCAGTATAGTAATTAGTGAAAACAGTTTCACTGGATTCATTCTGATACTCACAGAAACATAATGTCCCATCACATCTTACTTTACTGCCTACAAAAACTGAAAAATAGAAATAAACTTTATTTATTTTACAACAATTGCAAAAACAACTTTATCCAGCTTATATTAATCATTAGAAGTGCGCTAAGGGTCTTACTGTAGGAGGAAAATGCACTTGGGAAAACCCACATGGTTGAGGAGATAACCCTGTACCTTTTCATATCTGGGAATTGAACCCTGGACAGCTAGTTAAAAGGTGCTATGTGCTACCGCTATGCAACCTGACCACCCAAACAAAAACTGATTCAAACAACCATTTTAATTGGCAGCTGCTGAAACGAAAGTGATGTTACTTATAGATATTTATTACTGTCCTACCTGTATAGGTTTAAATGCTACTGATATTAAACTTTCACTATTTATAAACTGATATCCACAAAAACATGTTCCATCAGACATCTTAATATAGTATCAGTATATCAGTCTCTCCCAGAGTGAATTGAGGTACTCTAATGGTTTAAACAGGGTAAAAACAGATTGGTAATATGTATGGATGTCACTTCTGAAAGGGTCTGTCAGGTTTACCCAGGGTAAAAACAGATTGGTAATATGTATGGATGTCACTTCTGAAAGGGTCTGTCAGGTTTACCCAGGGTAAAAACAGATTGGTAATATGTATGGATGTCACTTCTGAAAGGGTCTGTCAGGTTTACCCAGGGTAAAAACAGATTGGTAATATGTATGGATGTCACTTCTGAAAGGGTCTGGCAGGTTTACCAAGGGTAAAAACAGATTGGTAATATGTATGGATGTCACTTCTGACAGGATCAGTCAGGTTTACCCTGGGTAAAAACAGATTGGTAATATGTATGGTTGTCTCTTCTGAAAGGGTCTGTCAGGTTTACCCAGGGTAAAAACAGATTGAAAATGTTTATGGATGTCACTGCTGAAAAGGTCAGTCAGATTTACCCAGGGTAAAAACAGATTGGTAATATGTATGGTTGTCTCTTCTGAAAGGGTCTGTCAGGTTTACCCAGGGTAAAACAGATTGAAAATGTTTATGGATGTCACTGCTGAAAAGGTCAGTCAGATTTACCCAGGGTAAAAACAGATTGGTAGTGTGTATGGATGTTACTGTTGAAAATGGAAAATAAAGTCAGGTTTACTGAAGGTGAATATTAATAAGCACCTCACCTTTGCTGTCAGGAATCTGGATACGTGTACCTTTATGACCTAGCTCAGTTACACAGCTATATGACTGGAGCATAGAATTTCATTAAATTGGAATAACATAGAAGCATTAGCTGTAATGCTGTTACAGTAACATGTTAACAGGGCAGATTATAATGTCAGCCTGGTTCAATATCTCCTGATGGCTGTGTAGATGTCAATTTACACAGCTGATGATGTAAGGAAGGGGGCTATATTGAATCTAGAACATCACAAATATTATTTTATGCTTTCATGTCTGATTATCATTGTACAACAGTAAAACTCATACTTGTGAAATATTAAGCTTGTAACTATATTCTGTAAGAACCTGGAAATTAAGATTTGAAGGTTGACTCAACGGTCATTTCAGTATCCCCCAAATGTTTAAGTCCATTTTAAATTATAGGAGAAATTTCTATAGGGAATTTCTCTCACACCTTTCATTGTCAGTAAGATAAGTTGTGTAGAGTTTAACTTGGTACATATTATGTGTGTAATTCTGTTTGTCACGTACCTGAACTGGTTTGTTGTCATTTTTCCACTGTTGTTGTACATCATCATCATCATCGTCATCATCATGAAATTTTTTTGGATCTCTAAAATGCAGACATTTTATATCCAAGGATTAATAGATAACCATCTATTAAAAAGACTGAGGTGATTTTTACTCAGATATAGAATATAAATTGTCTACATTTGGTGTCTGAAAACTCATGTCTTGCAAGTACAATACACTAGTACAAGGTATGTTTCTCATTGTACCTATATTGTGTCTGTCATTGTCACCACTTTTATCACCAGCATTGATATCATCTCATCAGATTCTTAATTTATATATTCCTTTCAGGTCCAACTCAGCTAAGAAAAAGCTGAAAAAGTGTTACAACACTGTTCGTTTTATCTCCAAATTACAGCCAAGGTGAGACAGTAGTTATCTCCCTTTCAGCATGTCACTACGTGCAGTTATTTATTAACAAACAAAACAACGGATTATATCTGTAGCTTGCTTAATTTCTAATAATGTGACTGTCTCTATAACTAGCACAATGTATAAATTATAACAACAGGTTGGGTTTAAATCTAAAAGTTTAGCATTTTCAAGCGGATGAAAGTTACTTATTCATAAATATTTGTCCTGTAATTTTAGGACTGACGTGAAGGTTGGACATAAGTCAATACAGTTTCTTTTTGGTATTTGACTGATTTCAGAATGATTGGTTTATATAATCTCCATTATCATAATTTATTTTATTTTATTTTCATATTTGTGTGAGTATATTTAATAAGATAGTACATATATCCCAGTAATTCATCATTTACATTAAATATACTGTAATCTGTTAAATGTTGCAATTAATGCTGCAAGGCACACACATTATACCATACATATATTAAATAATTGTGGATAGGTTAACACCTGTATGTACAGTATGTGTGCTACATTTAAGATGAAACATATTACAATATAGACAAACTGTGACCTGGCTGGCATGTATTTTCTTCTTTTCCACTTTTGTCAAATTTCCTTTTTTGTTTGTTCATTTCATGATTTTAAAAAATGATTATAAAATTCTCATAATAATTAAAGTAACAATTAAACCTCAAGAAAATTAAATCAATTAACATTAAAATCAAATGAAATCTTTTAAACAAATTTGATATTAAGTATTTTTTGTAAAAGCTGCTGTTATATGATAGTAGATTCAGCAATTGTTCTATAAATGATACAAGTATCTACAATTCTTTACATGGTGGTGGTTTATCATAATCATACTGTTTCTTCTGTTCCTTATTATACACAGCAAGTAGCTGGCTAGTATGTTTATTTCTGTTCCTGCAATCAATATATCTATATCATTTAATGTTTGGTAAATGAAATTCCATTAGGATTTCTGACCAGTGAATTGCGGTCCTACTGTGTGACATTTATGGGAACATAAGCTTTGATTCCTATAAAAATTGGTACTGATAGTTCATTTGTATCCTGTCTTTATATGACAGTTATATATATAATGTACTTTGAATTTGAATGTGTAATCAGTACTAAACAAGGTTTTATATGGTACTCTTTACATGTATATGTATAATCTACATAATATTTCCTGTTCTTACTTGTTGTGTCTGGAAAAATTTGGTTAAATTAATTCCCCAACATCCTTTTTTCAAAGTTTCTTTATCCAGCTTGTCAATATTAAATTGCCACTTAAATGATTTCCCACAGAATTTTAGGATTTGTCTCTTGTTTCTAATTTTTGTTTTATTTGTAACCGTAAACCATAAAACACTGGACCAGCAATATTTTACTGAAAATTGTAATTTGCAGACTGTTGGTGTAATGTTGGATGACATCACTGGTTTAGATAAGATATGGTGTGTGGATTATTCAGTGAATTTAACATAGGACAGTTATTATTTGTTTAGACAGAACTGTGTATTGTGCATGATTCAAGACTAGCATGTTTCTGTAGACTTAATCATCCGGAATATGTCATTCTGAACTAAACACACTTCCAGAGAAAAATTCAAGACATTACTAATTATTTGGATGGGAAATGCATTGTACGTGTAAAAAATCCATACTGCTTTACACCTGATTGATCGTACAAGCAAACTTGATGCCATGCGGGAATGAAATGCATGAGCGTTTCTACTAAACCAAAAAGGGATGTTCCATTCTGCATAGCAGCATGTTAGTTAACTCTTAGTAAGGCATGCTTCTAGGACTCCAGGCATTTAGTGATCTTGTACAAGTTTACAATAAGACATTGAAAACCTGATATGCATGTCATGATGGTCTAGTGACTCATCACAGAACTCAGATTGTTGTATCGCGTCACGGCTAAAAAACACTGATAGCTTTCTGTTGTGTAATTTCACATTTTTTTGTTTATCAAATCAGTGTTGTGACGAATAAGAATGAATCAATTTTGTTAATTAAATAATGGTTTTATCTTATATAATACTACAACCATTCCCAACGAATACATTTTCAATGTTTACTTGTCTCCCTTTTTGTTACAGTATAATTGATCCAGGTATTTTAGAGGCTTTTACTAAAGTCACACAAGTGAATAACACCTTTCAATACAAATATATTGTACATTTTTACATTTGACGTCATGATATAAAAATGAGCCCAATTTTATGTACTTCAGCGGTAAAAAATTGTGCAAAAGCTGTCCTGTTGAAGCCTTGCATATAGAGGCAAAGCTAGTCAGCCAATAGACTCCCATTTACTGGTGACACTTTGGTATGTTGTCATTGAAATTACCTGGATTCATTTTTATTTTTTTTATTTCGTTGCCCGGCATACCTTTTGGTATCCATACCCAACACGCAGCACCACACTGACTAGCCAACATACTCGGTACTACTGACCTTGGCTCTCCCTCTTCAATTGAATTTAAGATTTTATACAGTAGAGCCAAATAATGAATTAAACTACATCATACAGCTATTTCATCCTTCTAGGACTTGTAAGTGATATTATGGCCCCAAGAGAACAAAGCTGTGGATCAAATTAAGAAAAGAAAAATATAATTAAATAAAAACTAAAAAGATATAAAACAGAATATTTTGTCTATTTTGAGATTTGTTTGAACTGAAAATGGGGGTTTGGGGAGATGGTGGGATTGAAAGTAAGACAATTTAATTTGAGGATCAAAACATATTGCTCTATGCATGCACAGCTGTATTTTACAGCGCATTCTGTCGAGAGTAGCAGAAAGTGTAAACTTCTGTATAGAACAGATTCATTATTGGATGATAATACATTTTTTTTACCTTACCAAACTCCCTAACCCAATGTGTAAATGTATTCCATTTCTTTATCAACACTTCGCTGTAGTTGTTATAGGAAATGAAATAGGACAAAATCTCTTGGTTTTCAGTTGTTTAGAAGCTCAAAATACTTAAAATTTAGCCTTGAAGCTGTCTGGTTTATAATATACTTTATATAACAAAGGTTCTTTTCAATTGCAATGGACCACGTATGGATACAAATACTGTAATACAATTGTATTAGATGTGTTATTGTTGTGTATCAATTCCATAGTAAACCTGCAGTGAGTCACATATTGTGATAATGAACAAGAATATGTTGTTGTTACTGTACAATGGAGTGTTGGAGTAGTGATATAAAGAATTATTGTGAAATAGAATTAAATTAGTACGGACATACATTCATCAGATATTAGGATGTAAATGAAGCAAAAGCACTTGGCATTGTTGTAGTGATATCTTTAACATTAGTGATGATAAATCTGTTATTTGTGGTTTTCATGAAAAAAAGAAAGAAAAAAATTTAAAAAGGAAAAAAGTTATTCATAGAATTCAATCTTTTCCCAATACATAATGTACTAGTGACTTGAGCTTGAGATTTCTGTGGCAAATGATGAAATATCATTATGATACTTATGAATTACGTAAAACATCTCTATATCCCAAATGTATGTTTTGATATTTTCCCTTCAGCATTAATATGTACAACATATAAAAGATTGTTTAATTCTCTGATAACACTATCAATCCCAGCACATACATTTATTAATTGTGTCAATGCGAACATGTGTCTGTTAGAAAAAAGGATTTACCTTGAAAACATGTATAGATATAAATGTTTGGTTCATCTCCTATATAGCTAAAAATATTCTACACTTAGACAGTCATAAACCACTTACATATGTTATATCTATTTGATATGGTTACTTTACAACTATGGTATCAAACAGCCATCTTTACATTCTCTAGTTTGGGCCACAATCTTTGTCTGATCTACAAGCAGTTGTGTCTCTGCTAGTATCATATATACTGTCGCACAAACTACAGGTGTAATGTATAAGGTAGCATATAACCTTAACAGTTACACAAACCACAGGTAGAAAGTGTAGGGTAACATGTTATTTTAATTGTAACAAAAACCGCAGGTATATTGTGTAAGGAAACATGATACCTTAACAGTAACACAAACCACAGGTATATTGTGTAAGGTAACATGATACCTTAACTGTAACACAAACCACAGGTATATTGTGTAAGGAAACATGATACCTTAACAGTAACACAAACCACAGGTATATTGTGTAAGGTAACATGATACCTTAACTGTAACACAAACCACAGGTATATTGTGTAAGGTAACATGATACCTTAACTGTAACACAAACCACAGGCATATTGTGTAAGGTAGCATGATGCCTTAACTGTAACACAAACCACAGGCATATTGTGTAAGGTAGCATGATGCCTTAACTGTAACACAAACCACAGGTATATTGTGTAAGGTAGCATGATGCCTTAACTGTAACACAAACCACAGGTATATTGTGTAAGGTAACATGATACCTTAACTGTAACACAAACCACAGGTATATTGTGTAAGGTAACATGATGCCTTAACTGTAACACAAACCACAGGTATATTGTGTAAGGTAACATGATACCTTAACTGTAACACAAACCACAGGTATATTGTGTAAGGTAACATGATACCTTAACTGTAACACAAACCACAGGTATATTGTGTAAGGTAACATGATACCTTAACTGTAACACAAACCACAGGTATATTGTGTAAGGTAGCATGATGCCTTAACTGTAACACAAACCACAGGTATATTGTGTAAGGTAACATGATGCCTTAACTGTAACACAAACCACAGGTATATTGTGTAAGGTAACATGATGCCTTAACTGTAACACAAACCACAGGTATATTGTGTAAGGTAACATGATGCCTTAACTGTAACACAAACCACAGGTATATTGTGTAAGGTAACATGATACCTTAACTGTAACACAAACCACAGGCATATTGTGTAAGGTAACATGATACCTTAACTGTAACACAAACCACAGGCATATTGTGTAAGGTAACATGATACCTTAACTGTAACACAAACCACAGGTATATTGTGTAAG